TAAAAACTTGGGGGGGGGGGGGGGTTAAAGGGTTTTTAAACATTCAAAACCTGTTTCTCAGTGAAAGTTCCAAAATTTTTCGTCAAACACCATTTTTGTGTCTTAGAAAAAGCAGTTGTACAACAAATCAACATTTTTATTCTCTTGGAGCCTAGCTTTAAAAAAAAGGAGAGAAGAGAGCACAGTATTTACCTGAACCATGGTGGCACAGATGAAGAGAAGGAGGTTCTCTAGCGACAACCCCGGGCAAATCATTACATGGTTTTTGGAGATCATGAAGTACAGCATGATGCAGATGACTGGAACGCCGAATATAAGCGAGAAGAAGAAGGTGTTGCGCCATTTGCGGATCGACTTCTTATGCTGCAGTGCCACGGCAACCTGGTTCTTGTCCATCGACAGTTCGCAACCAAAGCCAGCATCCTGTAAAAATATTTTTTATCGTGTTTCATGTTAATATACTAGCTGACCGTGGGCTGGATATGAGAATCAACACAACCGTTATCATCATTATATTAATCATCATCATTACCAAACAATAATTACCAAAAAACATCATAACATCATCATTACTTTAGTCATACACAACATCATCACAATAATAATTTTACCGTTAAAATTGAATAAACGCCAAGGGCTTCTTTTTAGGGCCTTTGGATGGGCTTCTTTTAGAGATTACATTTGCAAACTAAAAAGGGGGCTTCTCAGTGGTGTAACAATGGGGCCAGGGTTTCTGTGGCTTTCTGAGAGTGGTGACCTCTTTGGTCCTGGTCGCCAATCCTATTGCGTTTTTAGCAAAACAAAATATGAAATGATATGATATGAGTGGTGAATCCAAAAATGTTTCATATGGCCCATGGAGAGACATTCACTGATAAAGGGCCAATACCACCTCAGCCCCACCATGGCTGGGGCTGAGGTAAGAAAATTTATGATTACGGCACCTCCAACTGGCCGGAAATGGCACTCACAGACAGTAAAAAATTTAGGGGCGCCCTTAAATTCGCCACTGGATATAATACGATATACAGTCAAAGTCAGAGAAACATTATGCTGTTTATGTATCACCTTTTGGGTCAGGGTAATAGATCAAGGACCATGTGGTTAGGGGCCTTGAATCTGGCTGCACGAAAGCGCATTGGTGTTAGGCCACTGGGGTTTCTTTTCAAAATGAATGCTGTAAATTTTGTAACATATTTCAACTATGGAATTCAAAATTCAGTTTAATATTTTTTCGTAATTTTAACCACGCTAGTACAATAAATAACTATTGATATTGATACGCTACCATAATCATCAAGATAAAATCAGTCTGAATTTGCAGTAAATATTATCTCAAGGGAAGCTCACATTTTCTTGATAAGCCCATGGGCTTCTTTTCGAGATTACGGACTCCTTCTCAAGATTAGCCCATGGCGCTTCTATTCAAGGTTTTACGGTATATTGACTTTATACTTCATACACCATCATGTTAATCCTCCTAATGATCAGAATCAACATCAAATAAATAAATACCAATTGTTATGAACCCTTATACTTATTTTTCCTTTTATTTTCTACTTTACCTCAATTGTTTCAATGATCTTTCTTGCACCAACCTCGCCTGCTCGAAATCGAAAATGACCCTGGCTGGTTGGCAAGGCAACAGCAGCTGAGATAACACCTGGAATATCTTTAACAAGGCCTTCAATTGCAGCAACACAAGAAGCACATGTCATCCCAGTTATCTAATAAAACAGGTAAACAAATAAAATGTATTGTATTTATTTCATTTATTATGTATATATGAAAAAAAAAACAACATCTTTTTATTGCATTCTTCAGAAAGTGACTTTTGTCAATACTATCTGCCTGGTAAAATTTCTTGTCATACAGTACGTGTTTTTAAAGTGGACAAATTAAATGAAATGTATTTCATATATTGTTTTCATTAGCTACTGTTAGCGTCTCCCTCTTTATCTCTCTATGCCAGTTTTTCCTGAAAGCCAGTTAATGGACAAACAAATTGAGAAGACTCTTCTGTGATTTATAGGCTTCCATATAAGACAGCTCTAGCAATCTACTCTTCTTCGAGCCTTCAATCATCTCATACTAAAATTCAAATTTTAATGATTGTTCTGATGATCTTTAATAAAAGGTAGTACATCCCTAACTGAAAATAAAATTATACGTACAATGAGATCAAGTTTTTCCTCGCCATCACCTGGGTCGTCCTCGTGGACCTCTGCTTCAAATCCCATATCATCAATAACCTCTTTGATCTTTTCGGGTGTCATCTCATCTGGGTCATACACAACATCTGCTCGGCTTGCCATCAAAGCCACGATGGCAGAAAAGATACCTGCAAAAAATTCCAAGTAGGAAAATAGATATTATATCATCCCTTGTATCAGGTACATTGAAGCGTTGTACTGGGACACTGGAAAGCCCTCCAGATGTGACCATATAAGGTACATAATATGCATATTAATAAGCTGGATACACAAAACAAGTAAGCACATACTTTCAAATTCATTAAGCAAATATCATCATAGATTTCCAGATAATAGCAATCAAATTATTTTACAAATAAACCATTAACAAATATATTCTTCCAAATATAAACTATCAATAGCGGACTGAATATTTAATGCTGAAACATCGTATTTTTAAAGCTTATCTACAATGCAAGCTGAGGTATTTACAGCTAAGCATGGACGAATGTGGAGAGAGTGGGGCTCAAACTCCAAATCACAAGGTTGAGAACCATTTTGTGTTGGGTTTCTCTGTTTCAGTGCCATGCCCACATGTGTGTTGGGATTTCCTGTCCAGAATTCGAAAAGAGATGAATATTGTATGTCAGGCTTCTGTTCAGGAACCCTATAGGGATGACACTTTTATGTCAGGCTTTTGTCCAGGAATCATATGAGATGACCACTTGTACGTCAGCTTCTGTCCAGGAATCACAAGACATGACTGCCTGTGTTTTGATCTTTAGCTTAACCTTCATGATGACTATCACATTTTTGAAGATTACCACTATTTTAATGAACAGGTAACACATTATACCTGTAACATGGAAATAAATTCTCCTTTTGATACCTTTCTGTTTTAGCAGTTGTTTCTCGATGCTGCTCACACATGAGGCACAGGTCATGCCAGTGACCGATAAGCTGCACTTTTTACTGTTTCCCTTGGTCAGAAGCCTTTCCATCTCTATGGAAACAGCTGAATTTTCCAGAGGGGGCCCTTCATCAAAAATATCTAATGGAAACAATAACATTAATACAATGATTATGTTAGTGTATCTATTATTGAAAATTAGAAATGGGACTTAAATCAGGACATAAAATAATGTTTAAATCAGAAGTAGTAAAGATACTTTGTAATGTTTAATTTTGAACTTATACAATTTGAATATAAAAGAAATTATGAATAAAAAGGACTATTAGATTTACAAAACTTTATCACAAAAAAACAGATTATTCATCAGCATTGTTAGTCAATTTGTTTCATCTGAAACAAAAACACCTAAGCTGACGAAACAAAGTCTGACCAAACATTTTTTATGATAATATTAAATTAAAGCACTGTCCAGACTACAGTATCAAATTTTGTTTGACAAAAACATGCAACTTGTCCAAATATGGTCATGATGACATCATGATCATAGATAGACAAATCATGACTATAAGCTCTGCATCATGACTTTTGCTCTGTTCAGACTAAAAAGTTTTGTTTGACAAAAACATGCGACATGCCTAAATATGGTCATGATGACATTATATACATAAGCACATCATGACCATATATAGGCACATCATGACCATATATAGGCACGTCATGACCATGTATAGGCACGTCATGACCATGTATAGGCACGTCATGACCATGTATAGGCACGTCATGACCATGTATAGGCACATCATGACCATATATAGGCACATCATGACCATATATAGGCACGTCATGACCATGTATAGGCACGTCATGACCATGTATAGGCACATCATGACCATGTATAGGCACATCATGACCATGTATAGGCACATCATGACCATATATACAGTAGGCACATCATGACCATATATACAGTAGGCACATCATGACCATATACAGTAGGCACGTCATGACCATATATAAGCGCATCATGACCATATATAAGCGCATCATGACCATATATAGGCATATCATGACCATATATAGGCATATCATGACCATATATAGGCATATCATGACCATATATAGGCACATCATGACCATATATAGGCACATCATGACCATATATAGGCACATCATGACCATATATAGGCACATCATGACCATATATAGGCACATCATGACTAAATTTGATAGTCTAGGCAGGGCTTTACACTATTTCATATTTATATTTTCTATTAAACCTAAAATAGCTTTCACCTACAATGCATGCTATATAAAAGTTAAGTTTGGGCCTCAATACTAACCCTGAAATAAAATTGTAAAATTCTCATACTATTATTAGGTTATTTCAAAAGCATTATTTTATATATATATATATATATATATAAAAACATATATTGCCTTGGTTTGGCTCTGTAATATGTTGTACTGATTATTCAGAGACACAAAAAGGTCAGGAGGGGTTAATGGGATACAAATTTTTGAATACTTAAAAATTGGGGCGTTACAGTAGTACCCTTTTTTCCACCAGTTTTTTAATATTCTAAAAATTTGTATCTTATTTACCGCTAATGAGTTTTTCGCCAAAATAGCTTTTTGTGTCTTAGAAAAATCTGTTTTACAATATCAAAAACTGTTTTTCCTTTAATAAAACAATCCCAGACAATGTGTATGTTTGGTGTTACTTGGTCAGCGTCATATATATGCCTACTGTAACTACTCTATACCGAAAAAGCAAATTAAAATTACCTATATGCTCAAGAAACTAAATTCCAAATATGTTAGATATCTGTTTTTTATTGTGTTTATATGATAAATTAATTAATAATTTAATATTGGTATTATTTCAATAGTTATATTTATTAGTTTTAATTTTATGCCACAGTTGATTATTAATATTGTATTAATAATATGTGATGTGTTCCTAAGAAACACAAAGTCACAAGATATTTATTATTATTCTAATATTTGAATTTAGTTTATGCAACAGTGTATTAACTCACCAATTATAAATAAGCTGCATGTGATATCAATTGTAAAAGCTAATTATCTAATTATCTAATAACTAAGTATCGCACTTTTAGGCCAGCAAAGTTGTTCTACAGTAAGTTGCAAGGAAAAATATCATGAATTCAGGGATTTGAACCCGAGACATTGGAATTTAAAAGGCGAGTATCTTGACAACAATCTACAGCTAAACTCCCATTTAACTGGTCTGTGTTCACAACGCTTAGAACATTGTTCTCAGTATAGACAATGTCGTCTGATTATTCGTCTGAAATTTTGCCTTTTTTCCCCCGAGAGAGTGCTCCGAAAATGCGCAAAATGACGACAGTCACAACAGGAAGCTAGGTAATATTCCCCGGGAAATGAAAAGAATTCATGAACAACCTTTTTAGAGGGCTGGAATGCCTAGATAATGAATATTTTCTAAATATTGTATCTAATATACAAACATAAAGGGAAAATTAGGATGTACAGTATATCACCTGGAAAAGAACACAGAATTTGTTATAAAAAAAAAAAAAGGAAATTCAATATTTCAATAGCTTTTGTTTGAATAAATGAACCATCCCACCTCCTAACGACATTTACAAATGTTTAAATTAAAGTACTTAATAGTTTTTAACACTTCTTGTTATTATTTTATAATGTTGAAATTGCACTGCATTATTTTCTTTTGCTGGGAAAAGTAAAATGTGAATTGCCATGTAATTTACAAAATACATAAAATAAATAACAATAAAATATGATTCTTCTACACATCCACAAATTTGCAGTTCACAAAAATAATGAGTGAAATTGTGGTGCTGTGATATGTCAAAACAAAGGTGTAGGTTATAATTAAGTTGGAAATGTATATTGAAAATGAAATTTTAAACACAAAATGAAAACTATTAATTGAATATTTGTGATACATTAAGTCTAATAAGTATTATTTCCTCCTAATAGATTTGTGTATAGCCTATGATTCAGTAGACTACATCATCACTATGAAAATGAGTTCTTGATATCAATATATTTTGAATCCACTAATCTAATTATGATTATTAGTAATGTCTCAAAATTACAAAGTGTGTAGGTTAAACAACAAACAACCATTTTAGTGACATGTTCAGGGGCTAAGTCATAGGGAACACATGTGCAGAGTAAACTAAAGTTTTAATATCAATGACATTAGTGGAATAACAGGATAACAAATTGTCTTAAATATGCAACAAAAACATTTTAAATTTTAATAATGCATGCATTTTCCCGGACAGTCTATTTTCTTATTGTAGCATATTCTAATATGTCAGTTTTTTCCTTTCCGGTTCACTTGAAAGACACTGAGAAAGGTGTTATTTGAAAAGTTAAAAAATGGGGGGAAAAAAACATAAAAGGGAGTGAAAAAATTGGACTTCATGCAAATTAGACCTACACATACAGTACACACACAGACATACTAATCCCCTACTTGCCACACCCACACAGTCTAATATCCTCATTATTTATATAGTACATTTTAGGAAAGACATTTTTTCCTTCTGTGCGACAAAAAATTAAAACAAATAATAGACTTAAAAAGAAAACATCTAACAGGATGTTGCCATGATGATTTTTGTTGCAGTTGTGGTACCAAAAAAACTAAACAAAATGAAATGAGAAATTAAATAAATCTGGAAATATGGATGAAGTGTAACAAAAGAAAGGCGCTGTAGTGCCAGGTTTTAGGAGGAAAGAGAGCTGGTAATTCTGAGAATCTAATAACTATTTCATTTTTTGTGTGGTGCTGTCTACCATTTCCAAAACTGTATAATGTTATTCAATAGAGTTCAGCATGAGTGTGTTTTTACCTCCATATCAATGAAGGGGAAAAATACTCATCTTAACTGCGGAAAAATGCTCACCTCACATAGGGATTCTCACCTCACATGGGGAACACTATTCCTACTTCATCTCACCTTGGAAGTTCACCTCAAGGTCACATGAGTGCTCAATTTACCTGAGCAAATGATGTTACAGTATATACCATATAATGCCATGCCATTCCCTCTACCAATACACAAACTTTTGGGGTACTGAAGTACTTAAAGCACTTCTCGACACCATTAAGAAGGTAGAATAGGGAACATAATACAGACAATTAGTTTTAAGGTAATGGGATCTAAAGTAAAAAAGGTGAATAAAACCACACTGTTGCAATGTTAATGAAGCACAATGAAAACAATAAAAAACCCAAAAGTATATTGGGTGGAAGAGTTACCACTCCGTAAAAGATGTTCATGTTCTGAGCTATCGCCTCTGGTATTTTTCATATGTTGTCTGTCCTTTTCTGATTTCGCAAGCATAAAAAAATGGTAAAAAAGATGTGTTATTATTAATAGAATAGTATTTTCATTGCGCCTTAATAGTTTTTGTTATTTAAACAAGAAAAAAAACAATGAATAGTATATAGTATAATGGACTACGACAGAGGGAGTGGAAGGTAGTACCATAAATAATCAACTTTACTGCATCTATTTATAACACTTAAGTAGGATAAGATACATATGGTAAACAATATTGTAATAAGTGCCACTTTCGAATAACTGCCTATTTCAATTAAAAATAAACCCCAACTTAAGCCTTTAAAAAATTTTTAAAGTGCTGATATGTTTATTTGATTATTTATGGTAATTACCAGAAATAAATACATATTATTATAAAGATTATTCTTTTTTTAAAGAGAACTTGCAAACACCAAGGAGTACAGATATTGTCTTGCTTAAAATGACGAAAAGAAAAGAGAAAAATAGTTAAATTATGTTTCATGTTGTCTTGCTTATAAAATGATTTCGATTTATATAGAGACTGGTGATACATTTTATAATGTGAAAATCTGTCCAGAAATCTGTTCTTGGATATTAATATGAAAATTTACGAAAATGTAATTAATCCTACTAATAGAAATGTGAAATTAAGAGAAAAACAAGGTCTTGTAATCTCCAAAGCTCCGATGAGGGCAGTATAATAAATGCAGTATAGTATATTGGCCCTAATGGCCACCCATACTAAAAAGATCTATTAATCAGCAAAAAAGATCAATCAAGCAGCTGGGTGTTCCTAGAGCTCCTCCTCGGAGCCCAAATGATGGAATTTTTTTCCAAACTAGAATGAGTTCTAACAAAGTTCAGTTAATATTCTCCTTAATAACAGGAGGGTTTTTCTCTTTATCATGCCAAAGATTAGAGTTTAAATGTAAGATTAATTTAAAAGTTAAATGAATTTAATTATCAATTAAATTCAATTCCTTTTTATTGCTACGAAAACCATCATGAGTGAATACGAAAACATGTCAGGTAGGGCAAAACATCACTCCTATAACAATAATAATAATAAAAATGTAACTCCAAAAAGTCACTAAACTTAGGTCAACAGACCCTGAGAGTTATATCGCATATTGTATTGCATATCTCATAATGTAGAAGTTGTATTGTACTCAATTCTAAAAAAAATGCCCTCAACTTCCCATGAACTTGTTCAATCTTTTTACTTGATTGATGTATAATAAACAAGTTGATGTGTGTGGATTGTTTGAAAATGTTCTTTACTTTTTTAACAATCATTTTTGCTGAATGCAATTTCCGTGATGACAAGATGACACTGTAAATTCTTTTGCAAATAAACAATAAAAAACTTGTGAGCTCATAAAACTTAGTTACAATGAGCTAGTATACTGTACAACAGAGAGTTTAACAATAACAGCCTTGTTACAACCGCTAACGTAGAAAACAACAGCTAATAGTAACAACTGTTAATGTAGTAAACTGAACTAGGTCGAAATAATGTATGTATGTATGTATTTTTCGACGAAATGTAGTACTGTTGATATAATTTAAAGCCGTAATAGTTTAAAGCTGGCAACCTCAATTATAAGTTCCCCTTTGATATAAAACTTTGTAATTTCTACATTAGCTGACGATAGTAGTTACATTAGCTGTGAGGCAAATTTCGTTACTACATTAGCTGTTGAGCATTCTACATTAGCTGGGGTTGATTTTCTTTTTGACTACATAAGCTGTGTTTGTGTATTTCTACATTAGTGGGGAGTTACTACATAAGCTGTGGAGTGTGCTACATTAACGGTTGTTACTACATTAGCTGTTGTTTTCTACATTAGCGGTTGTAAAAATAATTGGCCTTCCAACACTGAATCATGCATCCTCTGTATGGCTTAGTAATAACAAATAAACAAGGCTTCAAGACCATCAAACATGGACCATTGTCTGTACTGAACAATGTTTGCAGAGATATGAACTTTATAGGTCCTTCCCTATTTATACTCTAAATGGATGTTTTAAGGAAATGTACATAAATTATTAGTTTGTGAGTTTAAGGCAAAAAAATCATTGTATTACAAAAGGTCTTATTTAAAGGGGATTGTGCAGAGGGTAATTGTAATAGCAATGTGTTAGATATTTCCATAGCGATTTCCAATATAAACATCACTTAAAGGTTCTGTAAATAAAAAAAAGTGTATTTAACCAGGAAATGACTCACCAAAAAAATGCTCAAAAACAAAGTAAACACATTTTAACACCATAACACCATTAATACAAATCTGGCAACTTATATATCTATAATACATTCTTTCCTTATAAGAATGAAGTATAGACATATACAATTTATTGGTTTTAAAAACTGAAATTAAATGTTATACCTTTACAAGTGATTCATGTTATGTATGTAAAATTCTACTTCATGTTGAAGAAAATCTCTTCTTTACTGACCAGGAACCCATGTAGTCGGTGCTGACTATACAGTTGTTTTTACAGTAATTGATGTGGCTACTATTGTAAATATATTAAAAACTAATAGTAATAATAGTACTGTAATTACATTTGAAATTAAAAAAAAAAGAAGCACAAACCTGGTAGTTTAGCTTCAAACCCCATGCTATCAATAGTCTCAATCAAAGTCAGTGTATCAACTTTGTCAGGGTAGTAGTTAATGACTGCTTGGCCAGTCTTTAGAGACACAGAAATGTTTTCAACACCGGGCATCTTAGAAATTGTGCTCTCGATAGATTTAACACAGGAATCGCATGTCATACCACGCACCTGTGGAAAACAAGAAGAGTTATTCAAATGCATTGACCAAGAATATTGATTTGAACAGCCGAGGCATTTGCTAATATCATTTCTAAATTTGCAGTAGAGGCTTGATCCGAAACCTTCAATTGTTAATTTGGCCATAAGGCCCAATAAAAAAAAATTATTAGTTTATCACACCCCTTCCCTCATCACTTTTGGTTCTGATTTTCTGGTTTTTTTTTCAATCAACATTTATTTTTAATTTAAATGGTCCTTTTTCCATCTTTTTTCACTTGAAAAACTCAGGATTTCTTGCAAATATGTTTACTGGTACAACAAAAACACTTTTTAAATATAAATGTGATTCCATTCTTATGACTTTTTATATATGTGTCCCTGTCCATAACCATTGAATTACTTGTGAAAAAGGGTAAAATGGGGGTGGGGTTAGACAAAAAAAAAGTGTCCCTAACCATTGATTTACTTGTGAAAATATGTAAAATGGGGTTGGGGTTAAATAAAAAATCTTCCCTCCCTCATCAGTTTTTATTTTTTGATAGGGTGATAAACCAATGCTTTTTTTTATGGGGCCGAAACATGCCATAGGAAGCCAATTTATTTAAAACAATCAATTCCCATTATCTAAAATATTTTTGAAAATTCAATGATAACATGTACAAAAGAGCAGCTTAGTTCATGAGTGGTAGCCAATGTATGTGCATTAAACTCTGATTATTTTCTGTCATTCCACCAGGCCTTATTTTTTTTATTTTTTATGCAGCAATTTCAAAATAAATCCGTGAAAAGTATACAAAAAAGTATGAAGTCAGGAGCTTCACTTCACATTCGTATTAGATCCAAGATTAGAGGAGCCATTATTCATGGGAAACATAACAAATCAGGATGTTGTAAATTAAAGTGAATGTCATAATGACATCTTCAAAAATCATTTCAATTGACTGAGACCTGAATAGGATATGATCAACAGTACAGTACATATATAGTATAATACTTGGCCTTGTGTAATATGGTGAACATTGATCCAAATTTCAGAAGCTACCGGGCCACAGCCTTCAATTATGAACTGGCCCATAAAGAAGAAAGTTCTGAGCATTAGACCTTTCATTTATCACATTGGTTGTCACCAAACAAATTAATTTCACACTATACTGTTTAACTTCAACTTTATAACTTTATTTTCCAATAAGTATAAGTAATATAAAATTCAAATAAATACATAAACCAATATAGGAAGGAGCTAGAAAATAGTGTAAACACTAATCACGTCCAGCCCCTTTAAACATAAAACAATTGCATAATTCTATATATAGGACAAAATTATTACTTTTTCAACTTAAACAAATATCAAATATACCATTTCAAAGCAAAAGAATAAATAAAATTTATCAAAAAATTCATTTCAAGGAAAATATACAGTACATATATGATTACATAAATATACATATAAATAATGGGTAAGTTTACTTCAATAAAAATAACTTTAGTTCTCTCTTAAAAACAGATTTTGATTCATGTCTGATATATTCTGGAAGGTATACGGACATAAACCACCCAGGACATAAACCACCCAGGACATAAACCACCCAATTGGAATATACCATTGTTAAAGTGGGTGGGCAACAGGGTGAACAATGTTGGGTGGTCTTGCTTTTATCTAGCTTTACTTAATTTGCTATTGTACACTCCC